TCAGTGCCTGTTCCTGTGCAGCCATGATGAGTGCCTCTGTGCTGTCCTGTAGGCCAGCCCTTTCTAGCCATTGGTAGGACTTCTTGAGATCAGCCACTTCTGTTATGCTCCGGTGGTACATGCCGTGTAGGGGCTTGTTCTCCCATGATGGGCTCTCCTCCAGCACCTCCTCATCTCGCCACTGCCTGAGACATTCACTGAGTACGTCATCCGTTTTATATACTGTATATATATATATATATATAGTATATATATATATATATATATACTATATATATATATATATATATATATAAAGCTTACTTACTTATATATAATAGTATTATGGACAACTTTAGTTTAAACAATAATTTGATGACTGGAGAACAGCAAAGCCAGATTGGATCATATGAACGTGGGAAAGCCCAGAGCCTGACATATGTTCACAGCTTGATTACAAACATCCTCTCACAGATCAATGTCATATTCATATTTTCTTTACATCAGGAAACAAAAAAGATAAATCTGTTAATGTGTGGAAACTGGGGCAACAGTAGTTCAGTTGGTAGAGCATTGGCCTTTAGGCCTGAAGGTCGTGGGTTCAATTCCCACCTCTGCACCTTCTCCATCGACTCCCACTGATGACTGCTGTCGTTGTGTCCTTGGGCAAGACACTTAACCCCACTTTGCCCAAAGCCCCCACTGAAAGATCAAGGCTATGCTCACACTCAGAGAGCAGCCGTCCTCCTGTGGACTCACCACCTGCAGAGGGTCAGTGAGGGGCTGGTGCTATGAGACTTGGGTGGCATCTCTGACTGCCACCCCCTTGACCCAGAAATGGATTAAAGGGTAGAAAATGGATGGATGGATGGAACTGTCAAATATTAGTAAATGGGAATGGTTCAGAGTTAAGCAGATATCTATTGGGACAAGTAAAAAGATCGTAGAGCCTCACAAATCCTGACAAAAAGAGAGAAAAAAAAGTAATTTATGTGAAAAGTCAAGTTTAGCCGATGAAGAAACAGCTGATTATATAATGTCCTTAGAGAAGGCGACATATGGAAGATCCAGAGACAAATAGATTGAACGGGGGCAGAAAAATTCAACATATTTTTACAGTCTTAAAAAAAAACGTCAATCTTGAAGAAATATCACCAAATTAAGAAAAGACGATACTGTTACTGAGGACCGTCTAAAATAATGGAAGAATAAACAATTTTTACAGTAATTTATTTATGAATACATTTCAGAAAGATAAATGTGACTATTTTTTAAACTTAATTCAAAACAATGGGAATAAAATATCAAGTGGAGATAAAAGAGGAAGAGCTCACCTTATCAGACTGAAAAGGCTCTCAAAGAAATGAAACGGGAGAAATCACCCGGACTAACCACAGAATTCTATAAAACGTTTTGGAAAGATATAGAACAACTTTTATTTAATGCATATAAAGATTTAATTTTCAGGTTAATCTTAGATATTAACGGCTTATTAACCGAGCGCGAGGTCTGTGCAGAGAAATATCAGAGCTTGGTCTTTTTGCACAGACCTCGCCGATTGTCATGGTAACGGTCCGAGATGGGAAAATATCAGACCGGTAATCAGCCAATCAGAGCGCGCGTACGGTCCAAGTCATATAATAATATGGATTATCAAACTGGTTTAAATTCACAAAACTTGATTCTCTTCATAGATTTTTTCAAGGCCTTTGAGCAGGATTTTTTACTTTTTGGTTTTGGTCCTAAATTTAGTAAAATCATCCAAATGTTTTATCATGAAATCTATAGTTATATCTGTCTTCATGGAAGAGTCACCCCGAGAATCAATGTCTCTTGTGGAATTCGGAAAGTTTGTCCAATTTCACCTAAACTCTTCATACTGTGAACTCAACTGATGGATTATCTCATATTAAACAGTAACGAATGAAAGTGTAATCTTTGTGAAGGACATTCTTCAACAAGCTTTAGATGTTTTATCAGTTTTGTCCAAAGCATCAGGACTTTGTGAATTCCTTCCCTTTGTATAATTGCCCAGATAACGAGTTAGAATCAAGTCCTGTGAAAACACAAAGAAACTCATTTTAATGGGAACATTTAAGAAATAACAAAAAGTCTTAACGACGGGTTATCAAGAGACCAAACTATATTTGGCCGGAATTTATGATCAAAATCAGAATGTGTCTCTAAATTAGTTTATCCGAGCTATTCTCTTTACAGAAGCAGCGGCTCTACTCCGAGCTCCTCCCGTGTGACCGAGCTCCTCACCCTATCTCTAAGGGAGCGCCCAGCCACTCTGCGGAGGAAGCTCATTTCGACCGCTTGTATCCGCGATCTCGTTCTTTCGGTCATTACCCAAAGCTCATGACCATAGGTGAGGGAGGGAACGAAGATTGACCGGTAAATCGAGAGCTTCGCCTTTCGGCTCAGCTCCCTCTTCACCACAACGGTCCGATACAGCTCTGACTGCAGACGCTGCTCCCTCTTTACCACAACGGTCCGATACAGCTCTGACTGCAGACGCTGCTCCCTCTTTACCACAACGGTCCGATACAGCTCTGACTGCAGACGCTGCTCCCTCTTTACCACAACGGTCCGATACAGCGACCGCATCACTGCGCACGCTGCACCGATCTATATATATATATATATATATATATATATATATATATATAGTACATCTATAGTAGTATAGTAGTAGATCTATATATATATATATATATATATATATATATATATATATATAGTACAGATGCAGTATTAGAGCTGCCATCTGTGTGTAAAGTGCTCGATACTCACTAAATGCAGTTTAAGATTATTAACAATTACTGTCCAGCAGCAGCAAAACTCTAAATAAGATTTGGATCGAGGTGGAGCCATTTTGTGCAGAAGAAGAAGAAACAATGGAACATCTCTTCTTCAGTTGTGACAAAACAAAACTCTTTTGGCGAGCGATAATAAATTGGTTAAAAATTCTAATGAAAAAAATAGCATATTTAGAATTGGAGCAAGTGCTTTTTGGTAACAAGAATTTACCAAAGATTTGTAATATTGGTATAATTAAATAGCACTTACACAAAACCAAATTCCATCCCTCATTCAAAACTGAACTCAAAGACTATTTTTCTTCTTTTGTTGTAACTTGTTTTACCAAATGTTTGCCTTTCTGAATGTATGTTGTTTGTTTGCTTTTTTATTTTTGTAACACTCTGAACAAAATTGTTGTCTCCTAACGAGAGTTCTGTATATTTGTATGTATATTGTAATAAATAAAAAAATGGATCTATAATAATAACTGGACAGGGTATTACTAGCTTAAAGCTGTCCCACCCATGGCCACAGGGGGCGCTGTGGTACTGCAGACTACATTCACGAGGGCTACCCAGAAAAAAGTCCCATTGAACTCAATGTAAATTCAAACAGCACGACCTCAGCTGACAGAGAACCTGACAGAGAACCTGACAGAGAACCTGACAGAGAACCTGACAGAGAACCTGACAGAGAACCTGACAGAGAACCTGACAGAGAACCTGACAGAGAACCTGACAGAGGACCTGACAGAGGACCTGACAGAGAACCTGACAGAGAACCTACAGCTTTCATAAAGATCAGATTCTGTGGGGATGTTAGTGTCCCTTGTCGTCCTGAACTTTTTTTCTTCTTAAATCCTTCGGTTTTCTTTAAATCCACACTTTACTGCCACAAACTCTGCTCCTTTCCTTCCCGCTCTGACTCAGCTCTGATTGGTCAGAGCGGCCGAACCCCTCTGTGCACGTGCATGAGACCCACACACGCACGTTTGGCGCGACGCATCATGGGAGCTCATCCACTGCACAGAACCGGGAGGACCAGACGATGCCCAAATATGGGCGAGTTCTGCTAATCTCATTGTCTCCGTGAAGTCCCATGAACTACTGAGCATAAGCCGTTCATTTGGATAGGGCGCCATCTTGGATCACCGGGGCTTGGTGCATGCGTCAGCTGCACGAGCTCCATTCATTTAAACGAGTGACTTCAAAAGTCCACAGCGACTAAACTAGACTGGTCCAGAACACCCCCCTCAGCTTTGACACACATGTGGACCGGAGCTTTGGGCCAAGAGACAACTTTTGGACCATCCTGTAAAGACGTTTTTAAGAGGTAAGAAGATGCTATATGTTAGCATTGGCTAATTCTTATTCCGGGTCCACCCCCACAGGCCCGGGGTGGTACTGCAGCATGTCAGCGCACGTCATTTTGGACACTTTTGAGCTGGGACCTGCCCACACTGGTCAGAACGCATCCCTTCGGAAAATTATTTCGGAAGTCCATGATGCGAGCATGAGCCAATCAGACCAGGCCATTGATCTGAATGGGCAGACATCTTGGAGAGACCGGGAGGAGACATCTTGGAGAGACCGGGGGGAGACATCTTGGAGAGACCAGGGGCAGACATCTTGGAGAGACCGGGAGGAGACATCTTGGAGAGACAGGGGACAGACATCTTGGAGAGACCAGGGGCAGACATCTTGGAGAGACAGGGGACAGACATCTTGGAGACACCGGGGGCAGACATCTTGGAGAGACCAGGGGCAGACATCTTGGAGACACCGGGGGCAGACATCTTGGAGAGACCAGGGACAGACATCTTGGAGAGACCAGGGGCAGACATCTTGGAGAGACCAGGGGCAGACATCTTGGAGAGACAGGGGACAGACATCTTGGAGACACCGGGGGCAGACATCTTGGAGAGACCAGGGGCAGACATCTTGGAGACACCGGGGGCAGACATCTTGGAGAGACCAGGGACAGACATCTTGGAGAGACCAGGGGCAGACATCTTGGAGAGACAGGGGACAGACATCTTGGAGAGACCAGGGGCAGACATCTTGGAGAGACCAGGGGCAGACATCTTGGAGACACCGGGGGCAGACATCTTGGAGACACCGGGGGCAGACATCTTGGAGAGACCAGGGGCAGACATCTTGGAGAGACCAGGGGCAGACATCTTGGAGAGACCCGGAGTTTGCCTATAGGGTTCCATGTTATTGCGTCTGGCTGTACCGCGGGGGCCTCTCCCAGCTCCAGGTGCAGTCTGGGGTCTTGGAGCTGTCTGGGTTGTACAGCGGGGGGGCCAGGGGCAGCAGGGCGGATGGGAGATCCAGGGGAGGGGACTGAGACTCTTCATAGGTTGGAGGAAAGGAGCTGGGTCTGCGACACAGAAACACCAGGTTTAGTTACAACACAATACAATTTATCACAACAGCATCATCTCAGAGACTTAACAGAACCATTGAAATCACCAACACAGATCAGAGAATCAACAGCTAACACACATGAAGAATATAGAACACATGTTGATCACACAGTCCTTCTTGTTAGACACAGACTGTTCAACAGACTCAGACTCAGAGGAAAAACTCTAAAACCCAGAGCGAAAAAAGTGAAAAACCTCGAGGAGATCCACATTCTCCCCAAGATGGTTACGTTCACCAGCCCTGATTAAAGCTGAGGTCTGTGACTTTTAGATCACAACAATAGAACTCTCTTTGGTCTGGTCTCCCTCTGGTCTCTCTCTCTGGTCTCTCTCTGGTCTATCTCTGGTCTCTCTCTGTGGTCTCTCTCTGGTCTCTCTCTGGTCTCTCTCTGGTCTGTCTCTCTGGTCTGTCTCTCTGGTCTCTCTCTGGTCTCTCTCTCTGGTCTCTCTCTCTGGTCTCTCTCTGGTCTCTCTCTGGTCTGTCTCTCTGGTCTCTCTCTGGTCTGTCTCTCTGGTCTCTCTCTGGTCTCTCTCTCTGGTCTCTCTCTGGTCTCTCTCTGGTCTCTCTCTGGTCTGTCTCTCTGGTCTCTCTCTGGTCTCTCTCTGGTCTCTCTCTGGTCTCTCTCTGGTCTGTCTCTCTGGTCTCTCTCTGGTCTGTCTCTCTGGTCTCTCTCTGGTCTCTCTCTCTGGTCTCTCTCTCTGGTCTCTCTCTCTGGTCTCTCTCTCTGGTCTCTCTCTGGTCTCTCTCTGGTCTCTCTCTCTGGTCTCTCTCTGGGCTCTCTCTCTGGTCTCTCTCTCTGGTCTCTCTCTCTGGTCTCTCTCTGGTCTCTCTCTGGTCTCTCTGGTCTCTCTCTGGTCTCTCTCTCTGGTCTCTCTCTGGTCTCTCTCTGGTCTCTCTCTCTGGTCTCTCTTTGGTCTCTCTCTGGTCTCTCTCTCTGGTCTCTCTCTGGTCTCTCTCTGGTCTCTCTCTCTGGTCTCTCTCTGGTCTCTCTCTGGTCTCTCTCTGGTCTCTCTCTGGTCTCTCCCTCTGGTCTCTCTCTGGTCTCTCGTTAAATCCAAGTTTGTCCTCTGACCTGTGGATGGTGAAGACGTGGATGCGTGTGCTGTTGTGGTCTCGCTGGTACATCTTGGTCCTCATGGTGTGGCACAGGGTCCAGAAGACTCCACAAACCATGGAGCCGAAGCCCAGGACCAGGAGTGTATAACCAGGAGTCAACGAGAGAGACCAAAGGTACACCCCACAGGAGCTGAGCACGAAGCCCACAGAGGGGAGGGTCAGCCGGACCACAGACCACAGCTGCCTCCCTGCAGCCATGGTACAGGGACCAGCAAGGACCAGAGGGACCAGAGAGACCAGAGAGACCAGCAAGGACCAGAGGGACCAGAGAGACCAGAGAGACCAGGGAGACCAGAGAGACCAAGGACCAGAGAGAGACCACGGACCAGAGAAACCAGGGAGATCAGGGACCAGAGAGAGACCAGAGAGACCAGGGACTAGAGAGACCAGGAACCAGAGAGACCAGGAACCAGAGAGACCAGGAACCAGAGAGACCAGGGACCAGAGATACCAGGGAGACCAGGGACCAGAGAGACTAGAGACACCAGGGAGACCAGAGACCAGAAAGACCAAGGACCAGAAGCACACGGGAGACCAGAGGGACCAGTAACAAGAGACTAAAGATGGTTCTCTGGACCCATGTCTGAACCGTGTGGAAGGACTAGAAACCAGGGAGACCGAGACCAAGTGGGACGGACCTACGTTGCACATTAACACAAACACCACAAATGTTTCCTTTATAGTGTCGTTCACTCAAAAAACAAATATTATCAAGAAAGAGACCAGCGAGAGACCAGAGAGAGACCAGAGAGAGACCAGAGAGAGACCAGAGAGAGACCAGAGAGAGAGACCAGAGAGAGAGAGACCAGAGAGAGACCAGAGAGAGACCAGAGAGAGAAACCAGAGAGAGAGACCAGAGAGAGACCAGAGAGAGACCAGAGAGAGACCAGAGAGAGACCAGAGAGAGACCAGAGAGAGACCAGAGAGAGACCAGAGCGAGACCAGAGAGTACATATTTACAGTACATCTGGTATGTTTAGCCTCTGTTACATCTTTGGCTTTTTCAGACAGAAAAGACAAAAGGGAGCTTCACAAAAACAGGACCAGGACCAGGACTAGGACCAGGACCAGGATCAGGACCAGGACCAGGACTCCAGTCTCTGTTTCTGGACTTTGATTATTTACAGGAAACATGTGACATCAATAGCGTTCATCATTGACCACAAACTCTCACTGATGATTGACAGATGCTTAGAACAGAACAGAATAGGACACCAACAAGACCACAACAGCTCTGGCCTATCTGGTCGCACTCTCTCTGGTCTCTCTCTCTTTCTGGTCTCTCTCTCTCTGGTTTCTCTCTCTGGTCTCTTTCTGGTCTCTCTGGTCTCTCTCTGGTCTCTTTCTGGTCTCTCTCTGGCCTCTCTCTGGTCTCTCTCTCTGGTCTCTCTCTGGCCTCTCTGGTCTCTCTCTTGTCTCTTTCTGGTCCCTCTCTCTGGTCTCTCTCTGGTCTCTCTCTGGTCCCTCTCTCTGGTCTCTCTCTGGTCTCTCTCTGGTCTCATGACTCAAGAAAACAGCTGTAATGCAAACGATAAGGATCCACTTCACGGTTTAGGGGTCTTCAGGTATTGTTTTTTTGTCTTGATCTTGATCTGGGTCTGAATCTAAGCTTTAGTCTGAATCTGGGTCTGGCTCTGGGCTGAGTCTCAGTCTGGGTCTGGGTCTGGGTCTGAGTCTGGTCTGGATCCACTGCAGACTTTATAACAGACACCACGCAGTACCCACGGTGTCCACACGAGGGCGTCACTGCATCGGGAGAAAACTAAAGTCAGGATTCAATAGATTTTTAGGACTTTACTTTGGACTGAAGACCCAGGACTGAGGCTGTAGACCCAGGACTGAGGCTGTAGATCCAGGACTGAGGCTGTAGACCCAGGACTGAAGCTGTAGACCCCAGGACTGAGGCTGTAGACCCAGGACTGAGACTGTAGACCCAGGACTGAGACTGTAGACCCAGGACTGAGACTGTAGACCCAGGACTGAGGCTGTAGGCAGAGAAATCACCCCACCCCTCCTCCTCCTCTCCTCCACCCCTCCTCCTCCTCTCCTCCTCCTCTCCTCTGCTCCTCCTCCTCTCCTCCTCCTCTCCTCTGCTCCTCCTCCTCTCCTCCTCTCCTCCTCTGCTCCTCCTCCTCTCCTCCTCCTCTCCTCTGCTCTTCCTCCTCCTCTCCTCCACCCCTCCTCCTCCTCTCCTCTGCTCCTCCTCCTCTCCTCTGCTCTTCCTCCTCCTCTCCTCCACCCCTCCTCCTCCTCTCCTCTGCTCCTCCTCCTCTCCTCACACTTGTCTGGACCACAGCCGAGCAAGAGATCAATGTTCAGATCAATAAGAGTCCAGGGAGTCCTAAACTGCCTGTTACCCCTCTCTGAGCACCAGAGGGAGGAGGGGGGGAGGGAGGATGAGACCAGAGAGAGACCAGAGAGAGAGACCAGAGAGAGAGACCAGAGAGAGAGACCAGAGAGAGAGACCAGAGAGAGAGACCAGAGGGGGGGACACCCCCTAATCTCGTTTCTCCACAGCTTTTTCAATGACCATGTGTCTCTCTCTCCTGGTAATGACCATGTGTCTCTCTCTCCTGGTAATGGCCATGTGTCTCTCTCTTCTGGTAATGACCATGTGTTTCTCTCTCCTGGTAATGACCATGTGTCTCTCTCTCCTGGTAATGACCATGTGTCTCTCGCCTGGGAATTACCATGTGTCTCTCTCTCCTGGTAATGACCATGTGTCTCTCGCCTGGGAATTACCATGTGTCTCTCCCTCCTGGTAATGACCATGTGTCTCTCCCTCCTGGTAATGACCATGTGTCTCTCCCTCCTGGTAATGACCATGTGTCTCTCTCGGGAACAATTTGGCGCGAGGCTTAAGCGGTGGACTGGGGCATTAACCAGATGGAGCGAGAGGCGCAAGCGGAGGACACACAATCAATCCTTGCGTGTGCGCGTGTGCGCGTGTGCACGCGGGTGTGTGTCCTGGATAGAACCAGGACCAAGAGAGACTGAAGGACCTGGTACTGGTTCCACAGGAGGGGGAGGGGGCTCCTGTGGCTCTAGCGGAGAAGACCATGTGAGCTCTCACTGCAGAGCAGGGGTGTCCAAACTAAAGTAAGACCCACTTTGGTCCAGGTCCTGGTCTCTCTGCAGGAGCAGAGAGACCAGAGAGAGACCAGAGAGAGAGACCAGAGAGTGACCAGAGAGTGACCAGAGAGAGACCAGAGAGAAACCAGAGAGAGAGACCAGAGAGAGAGACCAGAGAGTGACCAGAGAGTGACCAGAGAGAGACCAGAGAGAGACCTGAGAGAGACCAGAGAGGGACCAGAGAGAGACCAGAGAGAGACCAGAGAGAGACCAGAGAGAGACCAGAGAGAGAGACCAGAGAGAGACCAGAGAGAGACCAGAGAGAGACCAGAGAGAGACCAGAGAGAGAGACCAGAGAGAGACCAGAGAGAGACTAGAGAGGGACCTGAGAGAGACCAGAGAGAGACCAGAGAGAGAGACCAGAGAGAGACCAGAGAGAGACCAGAGAGAGACCAGAGAGAGACCAGAGAGAGACCAGAGAGAGACCAGAGAGAGACCAGAGAGTGACCAGAGAGTGACCAGAGAGAGACCAGAGAGAGACCAGAGAGAGACCAGAGAGAGACCAGAGAGAGACCTGAGAGAGAGAGAGACCAGAGAGAGAGACCAGAGAGAGACCAGAGAGAGACCAGAGAGAGACCAGAGAGAGACCAGAGAGAGAGACCAGAGAGAGACCAGAGAGAGACTAGAGAGGGACCTGAGAGAGACCAGAGAGAGACCAGAGAGAGAGACCAGAGAGAGACCAGAGAGAGACCAGAGAGAGAGACCAGAGAGAGACCAGAAAGAGAGACCAGAAAGAGACCAGAGAAAGACCAGAGAGAGACCAGAGAGAGACCAGAGAGAGGCCAAAGAGAGACCAGAGAGAGACCAGAGAGAGACCAGAGAGAGAGACAAGAGATACCAGAGAGAGACCAGAGAGAGAGAGAGACCAGAGAGAGACCAGAGAGAGGCCAAAGAGAGACCAGAGAGAGGCCAAAGAGAGACCAGAGAGAGACCAGAGAGAGACCTGAGAGAGACCTGAGAGAGACCAGAGAGGGACCAGAGAGAGAGACCAGAGAGAGACCAGAGAGAGACCAGAGAGAGACCAGAGAGAGAGACCAGAGAGAGACCAGAGAGAGACTAGAGAGGGACCTGAGAGAGACCAGAGAGAGACCAGAGAGAGAGACCAGAGAGAGACCAGAGAGAGACCAGAGAGAGAGACCAGAGAGAGACCAGAAAGAGAGACCAGAAAGAGACCAGAGAAAGACCAGAGAGAGACCAGAGAGAGACCAGAGAGAGACCAGAGAGAGACCAGAGAGAGAGACAAGAGAGACCAGAGAGAGAGAGAGACCAGAGAGAGACCAGAGAGAGACCAGAGAGAGACCAGAGAGAGACCAGAGAGAGAGACCAGAGAGAGACCAGAGAGAGACTAGAGAGGGACCTGAGAGAGACCAGAGAGAGACCAGAGAGAGAGACCAGAGAGAGACCAGAGAGAGACCAGAGAGAGAGACCAGAGAGAGACCAGAAAGAGAGACCAGAAAGAGACCAGAGAGAGACCAGAGAGAGGCCAAAGAGAGACCAGAGAGAGGCCAAAGAGAGACCAGAGAGAGACCAGAGAGAGAGACAAGAGATACCAGAGAGAGACCAGAGAGAGCAGCAGATGTATTCGGGGGACGGAGAATCAAAGAGACTGCTGTGATTCAGAGGCAAACACATGGAACAGAATCTGGAAACAGAAATAATGAGAGAGAGAGGGAGGGGGGGCGGGGGGAGTGGAAGAGTGGGGGAAGAGTGGGGGAGGAGAGGGACACTGTGTGATCATGATGTCATTAGGAGATTCCCGCAGACAGAGGAGACTCCTGAGGGACGTCATTAGACACACACACAGAGACACACACAGATACAGAGACACACACACACACAGACACAGAGACACACACACACACACAGATACAGAGACACACACAGACACACACACACAGAGACACAGACTCTTATGTTAGACCTGTTGAAGATAAAACAGACTTTTGCAACAAATACTTTTCAAAAAACTAAGTTTTATTGAAACAAAAAGAGATTATAAAACAGTGACTGTTACATAAATAAAGTATCAAAGAGTTCAGAGCATCTGTAATAAATAAAAGGACAAACAGAAGAGGAAACAACAGAGGAGACTCAGACGCTAACGCTAACGCAGGCGCTAACGCTAATGCAGACGGGACGCTAACGCAGACGCTAACGCAGACGCTAACGTTACAATTAAGGACTAAAGAGGAACACCGCGCAGGGACCAGACGCACACGCAAGGACCAGACGCACACGCAGGGACCAGACGCACACGCAGGGACCAGACGCACACGCAGGGACCAGACGCACACGCAGGGACCAGACGCACACGCAGGGACCAGACGCCCACGCAGGGACCAGACGCACACGCAGGGACCAGACGCACACGCAGGGACCAGACGCACACGCAGTGACCCGACGCACACGCAGGGACCAGACGCACACGCAGGGACCAGACGCACACGCAGGGACCAGACGCACACGCAGGGACCAGTCGCACACGCAGGGACCAGACGCACACGCAGGGACCAGACGCACACGCAGGGACCAGACGCACACGCAGGGACCAGACGCCCACGCAGGGACCAGACGCACACGCAGGGACCAGACGCACACGCAGGATCCAGACGCCCACGCAGGGACCCAGACGCACACGCAGGGACCAGACGCACACGCAGGGACCAGATGCACACGCAGGGACCAGACGCACACGCAGGGACCAGACGCACACGCAGGGACAAGACGCACACGCAGGGACAAGACGCACACGCAGGGACCAGACGCACACGCAGGGACCAGACGCACACGCAGGGACCAGACGCACACGCAGGGACCAGACGCACACGCAGGGACCAGACGCACACGCAGTGTTTGCTCCTGTTTGGTTACGTTAAAGCGTTAAGACAAAGGCAACGAGAAAAGGCTTCATCTGAGAATGAACTGAAGAAACGAGACGAGAATCACAGAGACTGCAGAGACCGAGACTGTGGAGACCGAGACTGTAGAGACCGAGACTGTGGAGACCGAGACTGTAGAGACCGAGACTGTGGAGACCGAGACTGTAGAGACCGAGACCGTGGAGACCGAGACCGTGGAGACCGAGACTGTAGAGACCGAGACCGTAGAGACCGAGACCGTGGAGACCGAGACTTTAGAGACCGAGACCGTAGAGACCGAGACTGTAGAGGCCGAGACTGTAGAGACCGAGACCGTAGAGACCGAGACTGAGACTGTAGAGACCGAGACTGTAGAGACCGAGACTGTGGAGACCGAGACTGTAGAGACCGAGACCGTGGAGACCGAGACCGTGGAGACCGAGACTGTAGAGACCGAGACCGTAGAGACCGAGACTGAGACTGTAGAGACCGAGACTGTAGAGACTGAGACTGTAGAGACTGTAGAGACCGCAGGGCAAAGGTTCAAATGCAGTGCACCAGTATAGTTCAGTACATTCCTGTTGGACACATGGTTCCACAGACTGAGGTTCTTATGGTCTCACCTGGTCCTCTCCTTCTCTCTTTGATCTCAAACTTGTCGGCAAAAATCTGGTTAAATCTTGTAAATTTAGTTCCGACTTTGAGAATGTCTGCTTGTTGTGACTCTATGGTGTCTGTTATGACACCGACACCGACCTACAACACCCGCCTCCCCCGCTCTCTGATTGGTCGGTGAGGATTCAACCGAGGAAACTGCAGCCAATAGGATCAGACCCAGACGTACATGTAGGAAATGATCATGGACCAGAGTTTGCACATGGTAAGACCAGGACAGGATTAAATCACAATAATACAGAATTTTGCGTCAAATATTGCAATACTATCAAATCTTGAAATTTTTGCCAGTCCCCAGCCCTAACGTATGCCCTACATCACACAGGGCCTTCCATAAGAACCTCAACCTGGTGAATACTATCAAAGAAGCCCACAGCTCTCTCTGGTCTCCCATGGTAATCCTTAGACATATTGATGGTCTTCAGTAGTGAGAAACCTTTGCGTCTTCTGAGCCTTGTCTTCCTGATGTTTGGAAATTAAAGAAATGAAAGAGACAAAAAAATACAGGAACAAAATAAACAGGCGCGAGACCAAACGACGGCGATTCAAGTATTTCACATCACATTAAATTCTCTGTATAAATTAGTAACATATATTTGAGACCAAGACGTCTATGGCGTATGTACAGACGACACCGGCGTGTCGCGGCCTCTTCTCAAGTCTTTTTCTCAAACTCAATTGTTCCGCCATTTTTAATTCCTGTGTAGAGAAATCCCTGAGAACGTTCTGGTTTCACGCTTCCACACAATGAGCGATAACAGTAGAAAGCCCGATTCTGGAGAGGGGCGGGAGGTGCAGGGAGGAGACTGGCCGTTTGGAGGAGGAGGAGGAGGAGGAGGAAGAGGAGAGGAGGAGGAGGAGGAGGGTCCCGTGTGTCAAAATAAAGAGGACGTGGTGTGAAAAGGGCGAGAAGAGACAGAGGAAACTGGGAGGTTGGAAGCTACAAGTTAAACCGAGGGTCCACTGCACGACTGGTCTGAGAAACAAGCTCCTGGTCTCTGGTCTCACTCTCTGGTCTCTCTCTGGTCTCTTTCTATGGTATCTCTAGTCTCTTTTTGTCTCTCAATGAGACCAAAGAGAGACCAGAGAGAGACCAGAGAGGAGGGAACAACTTTTCCTTCATAAATGTTTGGTCGCAGACAACAGCGAGCGGTGGACACTCGGCCTGAAGGGGCTTGGGTCCTGGGGGGGTGGGGCCTGAGTGGGCGGGGCTCGGGGCGGGGCCAGAGGGGTGTGGTCTGTGTTTAAAGCCTTGGTTTTTCAGAGACGACATGAAACAAACACTGAGGGAAAAAGATGAAACATTCACAACGACACGTTTCCTCTGAAAATAAACTGTACACAGTAATAATATTATTATTAATCATAATAATAGTTAAGGACAACAATAATACACACGCGGCTCATTCTGAAGTCACGTCTCACTGGGTTCAGTTCAGAGCTGACAGTTCAAAGGCTCAGCCGAAGCGCTCTCGCACCAGCATCATGAGCTTCTTCTTGCCTTTGTAGATCTGCTTCAGGTTGTCTATGAACTGAGAGAACTGCAGGTGTCCGTCGTGCGCCATCATGAACGTCTCGCGCGCCTTCCCCAAGAACTCGATGAACTCGCTGTAGTGGCGTGGGCTGATGTGTGTGAGGCGCGAGTGCGTGGTGTTGATGTAGGCGCCGATGGTGGCGTCCAGCAGCTGCCGCAGCGGCGCTTTGTCCAGAGACATGAGTTTGAGCGAGTGTCTGCGTCCGTGCAGCGACACCAGCCCCGGGGACGGCAGCGTGCAGCGCCGCAGGATGTCCGACAGCACCGTGGCGCACTTCACGCTCTTCACCACCAGGGGGATGACAGCCGCCAGCTCGCTCTTCCCCAGAGAGTGGCTGAGCGCGCAGGCCCACAGCACGTCGTTGATGGCGGGGTGAGTGTCCTGGTTGTAGCTGAGGTTGAGGTGCGCCATGGCTAACGTGGCTAGCTTGTACGCGCGCACGGGGAAGCCGCGGTGCTCCATGTAGCGCGCGATGGTGAACAGCTGCGTGTAGCTCATGCCCGTAGCCGCGGCGTCCAGCACGATCTGGTACGCCGTCTCGAAGGCCACATGGTCCTTCTCACACAGTGTGAGCGCAGACAGCGCGCAGCTCTGAGGGTCCTTCATGGCGCACTGCAGCGCCAGCGTGCGCGCCGACGTTGCCAGGTTCTCCTGCTGCAGCCCGTCCAGACGCAGACGCACCATCGTGCTGTTCGACATCACAGACGTGGCAACCACGGAAGTGGCCTCAGTCGGAGTGAAGAGAGTGAACCAACTCTGCATGATGCTGTCCAAGGCATACACACCTGTGGGGGAGGGAGGGAGGGGGAGAGGGGGAGACACACACAGTGAGACAGAGACACAAAGACAGAGCCTCATGTTGCCTCAGACTCAGACTCACCCACTTCTGTGGCACATGTGACGAGCCACCGAACCATCTCTCTCCGTCTCCAGTTCAGAGTCGACAACGTTATTCTCATCACCTGCAGAAGGAGACAGCCTCAGTCCTGGGTCTACAGCCTCAGTCCTGGGTCTACAGCCTCAGTCCTGGGTCTACAGCCTCAGTCCTGGGTCTACAGCCTCAGTCCTGGGTCTACAGCCTCAGTCCTGGGTCTACAGCCTCAGTCCTGGGTCTACAGCCTCAGTCCTGGGTCTACAGCCTCAGTCCTGGGTCTACAGCCTCAGTCCTGGGTCTACAGCCTCAGTCCTGGGTCTACAGTCTCAGTCCTGGGTCTACAGTCTCAGTCCTGGGTCTACAGCCTCAGTCCTGGGTCTACAGCCTCAGTCCTGGGTCTACAGTCTCAGTCCTGGGTCTACAGCCTCAGTCCTGGGTCTACAGCCTCAGTCCTGGGTCTACAGCCTCAGTCCTGGGTCTACAGCCTCAGTCCTGGATCTACAGCCTCAGTCCTGGGTCTACAGCCTCAGTCCTGGGTCTACAGCCTCAGTCCTGGGTCTACAGCCTCAGTCCTGGGTCTACAGCCTCAGTCCTGGGTCTACAGCCTCAGTCCTGGGTCTACAGCCTCAGTCCTGGGTCTACAGCCTCAGTCCTGGGTCTACAGCCTCAGTCCTGGGTCTACAGTCTCAGTCCTGGGTCTACAGTCTCAGTCCTGGGTCTACAGCCTCAGTCCTGGGTCTACAGCCTCAGTCCTGGGTCTACAGTCTCAGTCCTGGGTCTACAGCCTCAGTCCTGGGTCTACAGCCTCAGTCCTGGGTCTACAGCCTCAGTCCTGGGTCTACAGCCTCAGTCCTGGATCTACAGCCTCAGTCCTGGGTCTACAGTCTCAGTCCTGGGTCTACAGCCTCAGTCCTGGGTCTGCAGCCTCAGTCCTGGGTCTACAGCCTCAGTCCTGGGTCTACAGTCTCAGTCCTGGGTCTACAGCCTCAGTCCTGGGTCTGCAGCCTCAGTCCTGGTCGGGTCACAGACCTGCAGCCCCAGCTCCAGAGACACCTTGAGCAGAGTGATGTCGGGGAGAGAGTCCATGAGGGTCGCGATCTTAAAAGCATCTTGAGCCAGTTTGAAAATGTGAGACGAGGAGTGAATGTTCTTCTGGATGGACTCCAGCACCGTCTCCAGCCGACGACTGTCACCTGAGGAAAGACCAGAACAACACCTCAGTATGTGTGGAGTAAGAACAGTCTAGTCTCTGTCTGGTCTCCCTCTGGTCTCTCTCGCTGGTCTCTCTCGCTGGTCTCCCTCTGGTCTCTCTCTGGTCTCTCTCTGGTCTCTCTCTCTGGTCTCTCTCTCTGGTCTCTCTCTCTGGTCTCTCTCTGGTCTCTCTCTGGTCTCTCTCTGGTCTCTCTCTGGTCTCTCTCTGGTCTCCCTCTGGTCTCCCTCTGGTCTCCCTCTGGTCTCCGGTACCTTTAGCTGCAGTGAGCATGGTGGAGGCCAGCTCACACTGCTGGGACTCGATGTGGCTCAGGGTGAACCATCGAGGAAACCTGTTGGGGACCGAGACCATGTGGTGTGGGCGGGACAGGTCACCAGGAGACGAGCTGGACTCCAGGACCGGCAGCCTGAGGAGGAGGAAGAGGAGGAGGAGTTTAGCTACAGATTGTATGAGATTATTTCAATAGAGAAACATTGAAGCAGGAGCCACAGTCAGACATGGATCTATGATAATATCTGGACAGAGTTTAGCTCAGAGCTGCCCCCTCCACGGCCACAGGGGGCGCTGTGGTGCTGCAGACTACATTCACGTTACCCAGAAAGAAGTCCCATAGAACTAAGTGTAAAACGTGGATCTATTATAATAACTGGATAAGGTATTACATTTTGGAGCTGAAGATCCATGTGCTCGGGGGATTCTCACGATACTGCAGACTAAACCAGACTAAACCAGACTAAATTGACGTGGGCTAAACTAAAACAGCGCGACCTCAGCTGACAGAGAACCTGACAGAGAACCTACAGCTTTCATAAAGATCATATTTTGTGGGGATGTTAGTGTCCCTTGTCGTCCTGAACTTTTTTTCTTCTTAAATCATTCTGTTTTATTTAAATCCACACTTTACTGCCCCAAACTCTGCTCCTTTCCTTCCCGCTCTGACTCCGCTCTGACTCCGCCCTGACTCCGCTCTGACTCCGCTCTGACTCCGCCCTGACTCCGCTCTGACTCCGCTCTGACTCCGCTCTGACTCCGCCCTGACTCCGCTCTGACTCCGCTCTGACTCCGCTCTGACTCCGCTCTGACTCCGCTCTGACTCCGCTCTGACTCCGCCCTGCTGCTGCTCTGATCAGCTCTGATTGGTCAGAGTGGCCCAGCCCCTCTGTGCACGTGCAGGAGAACCCAATATCATCCGGGCAGCAGGTAAACGGGGCGTCCATGTGTTTAACGGGAACACCCTCTTCAAAAACAGAAACGCCTCCTTCTTAATTCGCCGCTGAACACATCCGATCTCATTCGCTATTTCAAAATAAGAACGACGTCGATGCTGTTCTTGATGACAGACGGTTCTGTTAAAATAAAGAAATATCTATGGGTTTTACCGTCTACATTTAGGTCGACAAATGTTCCTTCCTGGTGGTACTCGTGAGCTACCGTCTGTACAGGGTATTTTATTTTAACTATCAATTTGATATTATTCACTACAACATTAAAGTGTGAAAACAAGACGGTTGCATTCTTTCATGGACGCTGCACGTGTTGTGATGCTAATTACTGGGTCGACCCAAATGAAACCAACTGTCCATCTGTTCTACCATTCAATTATCGGCTCTATGGGAATCAGACAGTTATATGGCCCACACAGGTGGCCCACACAGGTGGACCACGCAGGTGGACCGCGCAGGTGGCCCACGCAGGTGGCCCACGCAGGTGGCCCACGCAGGTGGCCCACGCAGGTGGACCACCGCAAGACTCTACAAGGACTCTGTGTGTCCATGTTATGACTATGACACGCTCTGATTGTGTGTCCATGTTATGACTATATGCTCTGATTGTGTATCCATGTTATGACTATGACACGCTCTGATTGTGTGTCCATGTTATGACTATATGCTCTGATTGTGTGTCCATGTTATGACTATGACACGCTCTGATTGTGTGTCCATGTTATGACTATATGCTCTGATTGTGTGTCCATGTTATGACTATGACACGCTCTGATTGTGTGTCCATGTTATGACTATATGCTCTGATTGTGTGTCCATGTTATGACTATGACATGCTCTGATTGTGTGTCCATGTTATGACTATATTCTCTGATTGTGTGTCCATGTTATGACTATGACACGCTCTGATTGTGTGTCCATGTGTGCGTCTGAGTGCTCTTATTTCATTCTTTCTCTGCTGTAATGTGCATCGATGACATTTCTCCACTGCGACGAATAAAGGAATATCTTATCTCACATTACACACACAATACATATATACACTACACAAATGTAATTGTACACCTTTCAAACTGTATCTACACAAAAAACACTTTCACAAATAATGTTTAAAAAATCAGTTCATCACTAATTGTGATGTACAAACAAAGCAAAAATCATTATATCACTAATCACAAACTTCCCGTAGCCCTTGTGCTCCAGTTGCAAACGCCCTTTAAGCCATTTATCCCAGAGAACAGTTGGGCCAGGGGCAGTACCAGCCCACTGCCAGCCCACTGTCATGGCCGACACCTTCACTGTGAGTTTCACGTGCGGTTCAACCAAGATTCAGTGCTGCTGGTTTATTCTGAAAGCGTATTTTGATACTGATTGGTGATTGGTTGTTGAAACGTTACTGTAACCCCCACTAAGGAGTGTTTGTAGTCCAACAGAAACGCTCCCACAGCTGGCCCGACCCTCCTCTGAGAACCACACATGCGTATTTTGTGCAATGCATCATGGGAGTTCATCCACTGTGCAGAACCGGGAGGACCAGACGATGCCCAAATATGGGCGAGTTTCCCATAGATCTTTGCGAGTTCCGCTAATATGTCAGCGACTGTGCCGGCACAAAGCGCCACTGAGCACAAACCATTCATTTGAATACGGCGCCATCTTGGATCGCCGGGGCTTATGGTAAAAAAAGACTGGTCTCTCTCTCTCTGGTCTCTCTCTCTGGTCTCTCTCTCTGGTCTCTCTCTCTGGTCTCTCTCTCTGGTCTCTCTCTCTCTGGTCTCCTCTCTGGTCTCTCTCTCTCTGGTCTCTCTCTCTGGTCTCTCTCTCTCTGGTCTCTCTCTCTCTGGTCTCTCTCTCTGGTCTCTCTCTCTCTGGTCTCTCTCTCTCTGGTCTCTCTCTCTGGTCTCTCTCTCTCTGGTCTCTCTCTCTCTGGTCTCTCTCTCTCTGGTCTCTCTCTCTCTGGTCTCTCTCTCTCTGGTCTCTCTCTCTCTGGTCTCTCTCTCTGGTCTCTCTCTCTGGTCTCTCTCTCTGGTCTCTCTCTCTCTGGTCTCTCTCTCTGGTCTCTCTCTCGTCTCTCTCTCTCTGGTCTCACACACGTACTTGTTGACTCACATCCTCAATATCCGAGTCAGCCTGTGTGTGTGTCTCTCTGTGTGTGTGTGCGTGTCTCTCTCTGTGTGTGTGTGTCTGTGTGTGTGTGTATGTGTGTGTGTGTGTGTGTGTGTCACGAGCCCCTCGGCGTGAAAGCCCTGGTTTTAGAATAATACAGCCACTTAAGGTCGCTCCTGGGACCTGGAGGTGTGTGTGTCTGAATGTGTGTGTGTGTGTGTGTGTGTGTGTGTGCGTCTGTGTGTGCGTGTGTCATAATGATTGTGTGTAATGTAGCGTAGAGTAAAATGAGCTCAGACCCACGGCTCCCGAGAGATGCACTGTTAAATATAGAGAAAGAAATCAGACTTTATAGTACCATCAATGAGACCAGAGAGGGACCAGAGAGAGACCAGAGGGAGACCAGAGAGAGACCAGAGAGAGACCAGACAGAGACCAGAGAGAGACCAGAGAGAGACCAGAGAGAGACCTGAGAGAGAGACCAGAGAGAGAGACCAGAGAGGGACCAGAGAGAGACCAGAGAGAGACCAGAGAGAGACCAGAGAGAGAGACCAGAGAGGGACCAGAGAGAGACCAGAGAGGGACCAGAGAGAGACCAGAGAGAGACCAGAGAGAGAGACCAGAGACAGACCAGAGAGAGAGAGAGAGACCAGAGAGTGTGTGTGTGTGTGTGTGTGTGTGTGTGTGTGTGTGTGTGTTTCCCTGTGGCCTCTGTGTGTGTTCTTATTACACACTCACTAATTACAGGCTCATTAGTGTAATTAATATTCACTGATCCCACAACAGAGACACACACAGAAGGATATTTAGCAGAGAGAGAGAGACCAGAGAGAGACCTGAGAGAGAGGGAGACCAGAGAGAGAGAGAGAGACCAGATAGAGAGAGACCAGAGAGAGAGAGAGACCTGAGAGAGAGAGAGACCAATGATAGAGAGAGACCAGGGATAGAGAGAGACCAGAGAGAGAGAGAGAGACCAGGGATAGAGATAGGGCTAATGCTAATGAGATGGCGGCAGAGTGAGTGAGGGAGAGAAAAGGCTCCAGTCAATTTGTCTCCTAATATTCACCCTAACCCTCTCAAACTGAACCGCACTGACAGAACTTGAAATCATATCCGCAAACATGCCAAAGCCAACAAGAAGACCAACACGAAATGATCCCGATTCAGCAGAAGACGACATAGACCCGACTCCAGCTACCAGTGGCTATGCAAATGCTGCCCGGGAGGCTAGTGCTAACGCGAGCTTCCCCGCAAAAACAAGCCTAATCGCTAACTCTTCGGAGCTATCAACTGAGGCTCTGCTACAGAGGATTTCCATGGCTGTTGCAGAGGAGGGACAGCGCACTCAACAATCTTTGTTAGAGTCCTTCAACAAGTTCGAGGCCACGGTGGATGCAAAGCTAAACAGCATAATGACGCGCATTGACGCCGTGGTAGCCACCACCGACGCACTCAGCGTCCGAGTGACCGAATCAGAAGCACGCATTTCTGGGCTTGAAGACGGCATTGCACCGCTAAAAAAGCGCTTGGATGTAATGGAGCAATGCAATAAGGCTTTAGCAGACAAGGTACTGGACTTGGAAGGTCGATCTAGACGGGACAACATCAGAATATTAAACCTGAAAGAGGCCACTGAAGGAAGCGACCTAACTATATTCTTGGAAGGATTTATTCCCAAACTTTTAAAATTACCCGTCACTTCGGTGCCCATCGATCGTGCCCATCGGGGCTTTGGGGTACCTGGAGATGGACGTCCGCGCCCGATCATCATCAAACTCCAGCGTTCGCGTGATGTCAGGGTGATCATGACTGCGGCAAAGCGACAAGGGGCCATACAACACGATGGATCCAGCCTGAGGATCGTGCCAGATGTCCCACCAAGCGTCAGGATGGCCAGGAGAGCGTTTAATGCGGTGTGCTCGGACCTTATTAAGAAAAACATACGCTTTCTGATGGCATACCCTGCGGTTCTGTCCTTCACCACCGACGGCATCAAAAAGACATTTAGAGATCCAAATGAGGCTGCAGCTTTTTTGAACATAAACATTGGATCATAATATGTTTACTATTTCTTCGGGAAATGGTGTCCGGTGAGTGACTATTATTCTCTGTGCCAATAATAATATAATTTGTTTGCTTAAGCTGGTGGCACATGATGAATCTGAGACTCGGGGGTGGGCTTTCAATCACTGTGGGAATAAAGTAGAGACATTTTTTTTCTGACAAACCTAAATTGAGTCTATGGCTATTTTATCTTCATTTCCATTATTATTACTGTTATTATGTATTATTATTCCTGCATGTGTGTGTGTATGTGTGTGTGAGCGCTTGGGTGTGTGTGTGTGTGTGTGTGTATGTATGTGTGTGTGCGTGCGTTGTATATGTTCGCAGAGATCAGTGGAAACAAAATTACTATTGTACACACATGGTGTCACCATGACCTCAGATCACTTTGGGTATGATTGACATGCATCGTACTAATGAAGGTGACGAGCAAGAGCACCAATACACAGAAATACAAAATTGTGAATATTACAAACCAGAAGATCTATTAAATATCAAAAGTGACTTCACATTCTCATTGATGCATCTTAATATTAGAAGCATTAAAAAACATCATGATGACCTCGTTTCACTGCTTGCAAGCATAGGTCACAAATTTGATGTAATAGGTTGTAGTGAAACTTGGTTAAATGAACTCTCATATGTAGACATTTTCAACTTAGATGGATATACTATGTTTTACAAAAATAGAACCGGAAAAAGCGGTGGAGGGGTGTGCTTTTATGTAAGCTCCCAATACTCTGTTAATGAACTCACATATCTAAACCTGCATGATGGTTTCTCAGATTCACTTTTCTTAGAAATTACACCCAAAAATGCCAAAAGTATCATTATTGGTGTAATCTATCGCCCACCCGACTCAAATTATAACACGTTCAGAGACCAATTTGAAAATATCCTAAGTACTATCAGCCAAAGGAACAAAAACTGTATTATAATGGGGGACTTTAATGTTGATACATCTGAAGAAGGGAAACACGGAACTGAATTTTTAAATACAATAATTTCCACATCATTTTTTCCCCAAATCAATAAACATACTAGAGTCACAGAACTCAGCAAGTCAATTTTAGACAAATATAATAACAAATATACAAAACGTTGAAAGTAAAGCAGGAGTTGTATGCTCTGATATCACAGATCATTATCCTGTTACTTATTATATGAAACTGAATAAAGGTGCACCACATCCATGTACAAGGAGAAAAGTAAAAGTCATAAACAATCAAACCCTTGCTGCTTTGATGCAACATCTCCAAACGAAAAACTGGGATTCAGTGTTTAACACCACTGATCCTGACGATGCATATAATTTGTTCATATCTGAAGTTACTAATTCCATCAACGTAACTATCCCTGAAAAAAATATTAAACAGAATAGTATACAACCTAAGCCTTGGATAACAAAGGGGATTTTAAAGTCAATACAGAAGAAAAATAAATTGTATGATCGGTATGCAAAAAATCGGAGCACACAAAATAAATGTATGTATACAAAATATAACAATATTTTAACAAAAGTAAAGAGAGCAAGTAGGCGGAACTACTTCACTGGGAAATTTAATCATGCTCTTGGTGATCAAAGGAAATCCTGGAAGGTGCTAAATGAGATCCTTGGTCGCGACAATAAAACATTAGTCATCCCTGACACTGTGCAGAACCCACAAAATACAAAATCCTTACCAAATGTCTTTAATGATTACTTTACTTCAGTTGGAAAAACACTATCCGACAATATCAACCCACCAGGGGGCGCCAATTACAAACATTACTTACATGGAAATTATCCAAATTCTTTATATCTCAAACCCACCTGTGGAGAGGAAGTGTTAACCATCATAAACAAACTAAAATTGTCCAACACAGCTGGTGCTGACGGTATATGTAGCAAAATTATTAAAGCTATAGCAACTGAGATCGCCGAGCCTCTTGCTTACATTATTAATCTTTCCCTAGTAAAAGGTGTAGTCCCAAAAACGTCTAAAATTGCAAAAGTAATACCCATATATAAGTCTGGGGATAAAAATGATACTCAAAACTATAGACCAATAGCTATACTACCAACTATCTCAAAAGTATTTGAAAGAGTTGTGTATTCCAGACTTAGCAATTAT